ATGCGCCTTTTAATTTCGTGGCTGCTGGTGCCAAGACTGTTGACTATGGAGCCAAGCAAACTAAAGCTGTGTACAATCTCAATCTCTTCACCATCCATCCCGATGCTGCCAATTGTCCAGTGGGGAGAATCTTTGTCTTCTTGACATTGAGCCTCAATCCATATTGTAGGCTGCAGCAGCTGAACACCCCAAGCCATATACTCTATGATTCTGTTTTCATGAAATGTGTTGAATAGGCAGATATAAAATGACAGGAAAATTGAGTGATTCCAGGAACTTGGAGTAGGGAAAATAAGGTATAAGGTTTTTGAGGAGTGTTGGTATTATTAGATGCCAAAAGACTTGTAGACACCCTATACACAATAGATCAGAGCCATCTTCATCATCCTCATACACTTGAACCCTTGTTCTAGTCACTACATCAGTCTATCTTCTTGAGGGGAAGATATAAAAATGTACTGGAATTAGATAATTACTGTTGTTTTATTGTGTACCATCAACTCACGAACCAACCCATATCTGACCCTCTAGCAAGTTTTCAGAGGCAGTTAATTGCAAGGGAAGAGATTACCCATTCTATTCCTGAGGAGCAGTTGGAAGATTTGAATTGTGTCTTTGGGGTTGCAGTGCAGTTTCTTACCATGAGGTCAGCAGAGCTCCCTTGAACTAGATAGTGGAGAAAAACTGAACATATATACTAAAAATCATTAAGTTGGATAATTTAAAATAACATATATCACTGGATATTAAATCTGTTTAATAAAGGTGTTGTAAGAAAAGCCAATGATATTGTGTTGTTATTAGTGTCATTGAGTCAACTTCATAGTGGCCCTAAGAAGAGTAGACCTTGCCCAATCCCATACCATGCCCACAATCCCTTCTGTGCTTCAATCTATTGTTGCAGTCACTGTGTCAATCATCTTGAGTCTTTCTCGCCTTCATCACCTTCTACCTTTCTAATCATGCCCTTCTCTGAGGTCTCATCTGTTCTGACAGCATGCCCAAAGAATGTGAGACAAATCTCATCATCCTTGCCTCTAAGGAGAATTCGGGCTGCACATCTTCTAAGACAGATTTGTTAAAATATAGACAATAAAAAATGTTGAGAAGGAAATGGAGAAATTAAGTTCTCAAATATAGCTATATGTCATTATAAATTTATATAGTTGCTTTTGAGAAAATGTTTCACAAAATGTTAAGCTTAGAGTGGACCAGTAATTCTAATCATCCATATATACCCAAGAAAGAATATACATAAGTGTTCACAGTATCCAAAAAGTAGAAAAAATTTAAATATTCATCAACAGATGAGTGAATGAACAAAATGTGGTCTATCTATAAGATGGAATATATACTATATATATAAAATACAAGAATTCA